GTAGGCGCCGTCGGTGGACTTGTTCCCGGTGCCCCGCATGGACTTCATGTGCGACACGGCCATGCGCAGGATGGTCAGCTTGTCGGGCTTGCGGGCCAGCGCGCTGCAGGTGGGCACCATGTCCGACAGCTCCGTGATGTACTGCGTCATCTTGTTCCGCCGGCGCCGCTCGATCTCGCTGTGGTTCTCCCTTCCCAGGGCAGCGGCGGGCAGCGTCAGATGGACGCCGGCCCGGGCCCGCCCCCACGCCCGAGCCCCACACGAAGCTAGGCAGAGCCGGACCGGGCTGGCCGGCCACCTCCTGGGGGCTCGCGAAGGGACACCCCGGCTAGGCAGGACACCGCGCCTCCCCACCGGCCTCTGCCTCGGGACCGGCCGCCAGGCCGCTGCTGCCCACTGTGCTCTGTCTCTCTGAGCACAGACGCCGGTCTGGCCGGTGCCCTGTCCAGGTAGACGGGCCAGGGGTGACTCACCTGGAGAACTTGCTGGGGCCTTCGCCGTCCTCGTCGTCAAAGTCCATCCTGACAAGTCGGGGCAGTGGTCAGCCTCAGGCCTGGACGCCCAGCAGGCTCGGCACGACCCTACTTAGCGCGACCTTCCGGGCCACGTGTGGGGCCGGGCTGGGGCCCGACCAGGAGCCCCCGAGGGCCAGCAGTGTCCGTGGGGGGCTTCGGCTGAGGGACACGCGGTTGCCAGGCCTGCGTCCACCTGCCGGCCGTGACCAGGCGGCTCAGACCCCCGGCTCTCATGTCAGGGGCAGGACGTCCGGTCGCCTCACTCATGACACCCCGGGCTCCCGCATCGGGCCCCCGGCGCGGGGAGCCCCAGGTTGCCAGCATCAGAGCCTCCTTCCCCAGGGCACGGGTCCTCGCGGGAGGGTGTCTCAGGGTCCCTGCGCCCCGTCTTGCGCTGGGTGGCTTGGTTGGGAGCGGGGAGCAGTCCCAGTGGAGCCAGGCAGGGGTACCCTGCGCGGGCGGGGTGACCAGGGCGCTGAGACCAGGCG